TTTTGATTTTATGAATAAAATATAAAATAAGAAATGTTTAGTAAGCTTTTTAATCAATATTTATGTTAGACGTTTTTTATATTTTTAATGCTATTTGTTAATTTTTATTTATATTGATTATTTGGTTAAAATAAATATCAACAACTCATTAAGGATAAATTGGTTATTTTATCGGTCATGTTCTGTCTAGTCATGTCTTGTCAAACATTGAACAATTGTTTTAGTTTGTTCTGTTGTATCTTGTCCATGCATTTATATATGTATGTATAGGTAAGATCTTTTGTTAACCAATTAAAAGGTGTTAACTTTACACACCTCAATGAATCAATAGAAAACAAGATACATTTTTGGTTGATGCATATAAATTTATTTAACGAGGGTAAAAATGTAATTTTTTTATTTGATTTTTCTTTTAATCCAAATTAATTTTCGGTTACATTTCTTAATTATTCCATGCCTTGCCATTGTGAATATCCTATGCAAATTAATTGTCGGTTATATTTCTTAATTATTCCAAGTTAATTGTCGGTTACATTTGTTAATTATACCTTAGTAAACACTTGTTCATAGATGAACCATCTCGTTTCAACATTTAAAAAAGTATAGACATGGAAATGGGCCCCGACCCGTCGGGGAATCCGATCTACTTGTCCCGATCGGGGACGGGGATTCCCTGCTAAATCGGGGATGAAAACATGGACAAGTATCGTACTCCTCGCCCCGCCCCGAACCGTTATGTATATTAATTAATAAATTATTTATATATCTATATCTATATCTATATATATATATATATATATACATATATGTATGTATGTATATTATTTATTTCAACTAAAATGATAATTCATAATTTCATATTTCTTTACTAGGTTTATAATCTAAAATTGTTATTTTTTGAATGTTAATATGTAATATTTTGGATGTCAAGTCAAAATACAATTATTTGATACATATTATTTATTACTCGATAATGATTTTATATTACTCAATATCTTTTGGTGCATGTGACTTTAAGTTTTTTTGGATTAAATTGAATTTTTGTTTTCTTTTAGGTTATTAATTGTTATATGATATTATAGTTTTTTCGTATTAAATTAAATTCATTTTGGTTTTAGGTTTATTGAAAATATTTGAGATTTAAACATGTATGACCTCTCACATATTTAATTTAAAATAACTTACATAAACGAAAAAAAAGTCACTATTTCCCGTTGGGGATGGGGATGGGACGTGATTATATTCCCCGACGGATATGGGGACGGGGATTAAGATCCCCGCCCCATTCCCATGCCTAAAAAAGTATTGTATTTATATGTGAACCTGGTAACCACGTACACGTAACAAAAACTAGGTATGTGCAAACTACCAATATTTAATTTTTTTTGAATAGTGTTCATAAATAAACACATGAACATCGTTCATAAGCACAATTTGATGTTTGTTCATAGGTGAACCATGTATCATTCCACTTTTGTTTCGTATATGAACGAGACTACACAATGTATGTCTTTACTAAAATAAAAGATGGATGCTACAAAAATATTTACGAATTTTTTTCTTATACACCCCTGACACACATGAATAATTCTCATAAATATCGAATACTTGTTCACACATGAACCATTAACCAAAAAAGTTGTAGAAGAATCTGATGTCGAGGATCTTATTGTCGGTTTTAATTCAATGACAAGAGTAATTACCGGATAGTTCCATTGTTATTAATGGCCAGCTACAAAACATCTCATTGTCATTAATGGACAACTAAAATATTTTTTCTTAAAATACCCCTTGTAAACATTGTTCATTTATGTTACCTTGTCAATATATGCAATTATTTACATTTTATGTCATGAATGATTTCAACCACAAATTTCAAAAATCAATAGATAAGATTGGTTCACAAAGTTAAGACCATATATTGGGTTAATAAATGAACTCACCCCTACGTATGTATGTATATTTATTTATTAAAAACTTTCTTTTCTAACAAATCAATGAGCCACGGATCCTCATATTGCAACTTCAATTTAACGATCAATAGATCTCAATACATGGTTCGGATATTCAACCGAAAAAAGTCCGAAAACACGTTTTTCTAAACATTTCCATCCTTTTGCTGGATATGCAATTAAACTTTATATTTTCATTTTGTCCATTTATAACTTCAATACACCAAATACCCAAATAAAATATAACTCCAAAATGGAACCCATATCATATTTTCTAATTACAACATGTTTTAAATGGTCCCTTACAAAAAAATACACTAAAAAATATAAAACAAGTAAACAAATTTAAACACTTATTAACGAGATACATTCTAAACAATTTTAAATAAACTTACTTGTTCATTCATTTAATAAAAATTTACTATGTCTTTTAATGGACGATGAATATTATCTTGTAGTGGATGACAATGGAACATGGTGGCAGTTGGTGGTGGAAACCGATAGATGTCGATGGCTGAAATCGTCGACGGACCATGGCAGCGTCAACGGTGGCAGCAAGCACAGTAAAGTTGAGAGAATTGGCAACAAAAAAAAGGGAGGTAAAAGGAAGAGAAATGTCCCCCCAACGTACAAGAAATTGTTCCCATTGTTGTTTTTAAAAAATGGCCAAACTTCAAGGGTAGGGTTGGCCATTTTTGTTCATTAACAGAGATTACGTGTCAAACATGCATTGGTTGGCAATGTGGTTTTCAGATAATCGCCAACAACGATACCACTTCTAAGAAAAGCACCTACTTTCAAAACAAAATTTATGTGTCCTTTACACCTGGTCATTAACACTTGACATAATTTTATAAATAATTTATTGACTTATTCCGATGTGGTACTGGTAATAAACACTTTTGAGTGTTTGGATAAACAACTTATACCAGTGTCAAACCGGTAATAAGAAGTTTTTGAAGAAGTTAAATACTTCTGAATTATAATAAGTTGATAAATGCTTTTGTAGAAAAACATAAGTTGTTTTAAATAAGCAATCCCAAACACCCCCTAAATGACACTTTTATCATTGATAAAAAAGAGAGAATTTTTCACTAAAACAAAATTGGATTTATAGTTGGATGTCAAAACTTTCTAAGCGTCCTAATAGATCAATTTATAAAACTTAATTTGCAGAACCAAAAGACAAACTGTCTTATTTAAAAGGCGTTGTAATAAGTTTATATGATATTTTTCGGACATTGTAACAAGTTTTTAGAACATTTTTTAAAAAAAAAAGCATCGTGTTTTTATGTTTTATATGACACTATACGAAACAATGGCCAATAAAAACAAATGTCCTGTAAAAAGATGAGTTTATAGGACACTTTAAATTAGCCAATGTGATCTATAAATTTATTACAACGTCTTTTAATAAGATGTTTTATTTTGTGTTCTTATAAATCAAGTTCTATAAAGCAGTCAACTATGACACTTAAAGATTATCGACATCTTATAAAACCTAATTTCTTTATAGTGTTTGTATATATAAATATCATGAATTACAACTTTTCACACATGAAAACTTCAATCACGTCTCTAGAAAATGATTAAAAAGCAATTCAATTTCGTATAATACATCAAAAGTAGAGAAAAAAAAGCAACTTTTTACTTAATGTTGTACAAAAAGCAATCTAATATAAATGAAATGTATGTCTTTTATATATACTTGTCCGGTAGGTAATAAAATAAGGAAATGTTTGTTATTTTTATTGAGATATGCATTAAATAAGATTTTTGGTCCTTGTCATGTTCATCCAATAAGATAAATGATCCAGTAAACGACCCCTTTGTAATCTTCGATCATTACTTAAAAACTATGTAAAAAACCAATACTTAATACTCGAGTGAACAAACTATTAGGATCATTGAAGTGAGAGGTAAAAAACATGCCCAAGTTTAAAGAAGTTGAAATATGTGAACACCAAAAG